ATATATATATATATATATATATATATATATGTATATATAAAGAAATTATTATAAATACATATGTGTAAAGAAAAGTAATATAAATATATATATATATATATATATGTATATATAAAGAAAATTATTATAAAATATGTATAGAAATGCAAAAAATCTTTACAATATATTAATATTTAAAGTTTATTTTTATGTTGTTGTAATTTAAATTAATAATAATATTTATTTATTGAAAAATGTGTTAACAACTCTTATATTTTTCATTCCTAGATAAGTTTTTTAAAATATTTTTAGTGATTTATTCTTTGTTTTTTAATTGTAAATTGATTTAGCTATATAAAACCGAGTATCTAGTTGGATTGTTATGTTTTTTGTTTTTTTGTGTAATCACACATTTTTAACTTTATTCATTTTTCTTAAAAAATATTCATTTGGTAAGCTCTCATCAACAAAAATGTTATGCAATGTGCTGGAAAAGTTCAATTAATTTTACCATAACATATAAATATCTGAAATCTTTTTTATTTTAAGAAAAGTTTTGAGGCTGATACGGATTCTAAGTTTTTTTTAAATACTTGATGGTACACCTATCGATGTTTATATTTATAGTAAATATATTTTTTATATGAAACGAGTATTTTGACTTAAACTACAAGCTCGTTATTTAACATTTAAAATCGGACCCCCTGGGTCAATTTCCTAGATCCGTCACAGTTCGCATGAGTGTCACATATTAGTCGCATAAAATATCGCATATGAAAGTACGAAGGTTATGCGAATTAATGTCTTCACAATTTTAATATTCGCACAATTGTCACATAATTACCGCATAATACTTTTGCACTTTCTGGTTGAAAAAGTTACCTTTTATCTAGTGATTTGATTTTTTTTTTCTTTTATAACGGAGTGTAAATAACTATTTTCCTCTTATATATATGCATGTAATTCATCGGGTTCAATCATTTTCACCTACATAAAACGCTTCATTTGCGAGGCTACCTACTAGCTACCAAAGGCCAATTCAACATAAAAAAAAAAAATAATAATAATAATAATAATAATAATAATAGTAGTTTGTTGTGAAGTGTGAGGACAAACGGATAACATAAGCATGGGTGAAGATATGAAGGGAGGCAAGGTAGTGGTGGTGGTGGTGAGAGAATACGAGGCCGAGAGAGATAGGTTGGGTGTGGAGGAGGTGGAGAGCCGGTGCGAGGTTGGCCCCACCGGCAAACTCTCCCTCCACACCAACCTTCTTGGCGACCCACTTTGCCGGGTCCGCCATTCTCCTGCTTATCTCATGCTGGTACTTAATTAACTTACTTACTTCTCGTTCAACAAAACACTAACAAAACGTACTTAAGTTCACTTTCTCTACTTTTTGTTGTTTATTAGGTGGCGGAGATGGTGGCGGCGGCAGACGGAGGAGTAGACAAAGAGAAGAGAGAGATAGTGGGAATGATAAGGGGCTGCATTAAAACGGTTACGTGCGGGAAAAAACTCTCTAATATTAATGCAAAACTTTCCAATAATAATAATGATGATAATAATCATAAGTGTTTATTAACAACAACACCTGATGAGCCACTTCCCCTCCTCACCAAACTTGCCTACATTTTAGGTCTCCGTGTTTCGCCTTCTCATCGGTAATTAACTATTTGTTTTCCCCATTAATTTCCAGGGAGATTCTACGGTTCCGTTACGGAACTATTCTGTCGGAGTTTGTAACTGTTACATCAACTATTCACGACGGTTACATGATGATCTAACGGTTACAAATTACGACGGAATGGTTCCGTAACGGGAATGTAGCATTTCCATTCTCGATTAGTTTAATTTGGGATATTTTTTATTTATTTGGGTAATATAATTTTTGAATTTGAATGATAATTACATTTATCTACACTACCAAGAGACTTGTCTTATTAATTACTTTATATTGATTTACAACAGGATCTATATACTTTAAACTTGTCTTGACACAAAAAATTCTTCTTGTAGCAAATCAAAGTAAAAAATGATAATCTCTTTCCCAAAAATGAACAAACATTTTTCACCATGCACCTAACTATGAACTCTTTATTTACAATTAAGGGAAATGCTACAGTCCCGTTACAGAATCATTCCGTCAGAATTTGTAACCGTTAAATCATCATGTAACCGTCGTCGATAGTTGATCTAACGGTTACAAAACCCCGAAGAATCTCCCTTTAATTAATTGGTTAATTGACTTCTATATTTAATAATATTATTTTTAATATTTCTTTCATGCACCATAAAAATCTTGCAGAAGAATGGGAATTGGATTGAAAATGGTGGCCAAAATGGAAGAGTGGTTTGCCGAAAAGGGCGCCGAGTACTGTTACATGGCAACCGAGAATGACAATCGACCGTCGATCAACCTCTTCACCAAAAAATGCGGCTACTCCAAATTCCGCACCCCTCGAATACTGGTCCATCCCGTGTTCGCACACCGTGTCCGCATTTCGACCCGGGCCTCCATTCTGCAGCTCGGCCCAGCCGACGCAGAGGCCCTCTACCGCCATCGGTTCTCCACAGTCGAGTTCTTCCCATATGACATCAACACCGTCCTTTCCAATCCCCTCAGCCTCGGCACTTTCCTTGCCGTCCCGAGTGGGTCCCCAACATCCTTACACTGGCCAGGAATCGCCGGGTTCCTCGCGGGGCCGCCCGAGTCGTGGGCCGTGCTGAGCGTGTGGAATTGTAAGGACGCGTTCACGCTCGAGGTCCGGGGAGCGTCCCGAGTGAAAAAGGCGCTCGCGCGAGCCACGAGGGTTGTGGACCGGGCCTTTCCGTGTCTGGGACTGCCCTCCATGCCGGAGGTGTTCAGGCCGTTTGGGCTGCATTTTCTGTATGGGCTCGGAGGGGAAGGCCCAGATGCGGTGGGTTATGTGAGGGCACTTTGTGGAGTGGCCCACAACCTGGCGAGGGAGCGTGGGTGCGGGGTGGTGGCGACGGAGGTGGGGAGCCGGGAGCCGCTCAGGATAGGGATTCCGTACTGGAAGAGGCTATCGTGCGCGGAGGATCTTTGGTGCATCAAGCGGCTGGGGGAGGAGGACAGTGACGCGTCAGTGGGTGATTGGACCAAGTCATCACCTGGTCTTTCCATATTTGTTGACCCTAGAGATGTCTGACTATATGTATGCATTATATGATTGTCAGTGTGTTTCCTTATT